AACGAACGAACGAACGAACGAACGAACGAACGAACGAACGAACGAACGAACGAACGAACGAACGAATGAACGAAACTATAAATGACGAGCTGCTCAGAGATGGTCACGAAATACACACGATTTAAAACTTCCATCTATCCCTACACTTAGTATAAACTCATATTTGGCCAAGGTATATCTGGTACCGCGCAGTTTACAATACAAGTAGAGGAGTCGTGCTCCAAAGTTATTGTATCGAGCCACCTTGATGGCTCTTCTTCCACTAAAATCTATTGTTATTTACAAGTCGATTTTTGTGGAGGGATAAAAACTGGAGAACTAAAAGAAACTACCTCGAAGCATAGGAAAGAACCACTGGCAACATTCCTCATTCACGACACCAAGTTTGCGAATCGATTGTGATTGGCGCACTTTCATCGCTATACGCCTATAGGCTTACCTACATACAGGTTGTACATAGAGTACTAACTAGGTGTTGCTATGCTACTGTTTATCACACTTGCTAAAGAATTCTCTAATTTTTCGAAAGATCTTTCCAAATGCCCTTCTATAATCGCGGTTACATCCAGCATAAACAAAAACATTTACACAATGATTAGTGTAGATCATGCAAACGGCTATCTTCACCAACACGGACGGTGCTTTCGGGCCACCAAACATCTCCACCACATCAATAACAATAATGGGCACAACAAGTACGATGAAAAATCCTACGACAAACGATACGATTCTTGCAGCTTTCATCTGCTTAATGCTGTTTCTTCGATCCTCAGGGGTATTTTCCAAAGTCTCAGTTGACTTGGTGTTCGAGACTTCTTCATTGTTTCTTGGTTGGACAACAAATCTCTCCTGGGCGTGGATGCGACGATTATGGTTAACACTTGCACGTAGGATAAACCCGTAAATAAGAATAACAGTCGTAATAGGAATAAAGTGGACTATAATGTACAATGTGGTTATATATTCTTTGGAAAGTAAAGTTGTAAAACGACAAATTGTTACAGGGGGTGATGGGTTTAGCCCTCCAAGGCCTACTGAGGGGGCGAGCGCTAGAACCGTTATCATTATCCAACTCGTACCAATGACCGCGAAGATAAAGTTTGGTGTCACTGCTTCATAGTAGAAATAAGGCATAAAAATCGCGACGAATCGTTCGACGCTTATGAACAAGATATTCACATTTGACGTGCTTCCAAAAAGAATTGACAGAGGAATCGATATCTGACAGAGGAGTTTCACGTCTGTCTTCCAAGTTAATGTCTCGGCAACTCGTAAAGGAACTGATACGAATCCCTGCAGGAAGTCTGTGAGAGCTAGATTAGCAAGTAGATAGTTACTGGTCGTTTGGAGATTACTTTGAACAAAAATAGCAACCATGACCAAAAGGTTACCAAACATTGCTGTCAGAGAAATGACAAGATAAAAGCAAGAAAAAAATACCGTCTCCGCAAGCGTAGACAAACTTGAATCGGAATCTCCACTGGTTAAGTTGGTCTGACGAGTCGTTTGGTTACTTCGCAAATGTTGAAAGAAAGTCTGTGCCATCTTGTCTCTCCCAAAAGTCGAAGAATATTGACAGGAGTAATTAATTTTGAAGGTCTTTTTTTTACAGATCTTTAGCTTGTTTGCTTATTCCAGTCAGGTTTAATCTAAGATTACGAGCAAGTATTAATGAATTTGAAGTTTTCCTCCGACGATTTAAGCCATCGACTTCCTGGTGTGCGAGATCTTTACATTTGAGAGATTAAATGAGTGTATTTGATTAATAGTTTTTTGTCGTCTTCTTCCTTCTCTAGTCACCTGTGACTTTTTATTGAACTAGGCTCTCTTTTCAACTAGTTGCTTTTTGTCCACTTCACATTTGAAGAAGATTTTATTCACCAGCACCGAGC